TTGGTCAATTGAAGGCCTCTACACAGCCTTCAAAGTCTCACTCCTGTGTGCAGGTAGATCTCATTGTTCTTAGAGAGACATTGGCCCAGGATTTCTCAATTAACCACAGACAGGAAAGGATGTTGTAATATTCCTTCCAGAACTCTTTAAGGGTTAAATCTATATCAGAGACATCTGAAAGCACAAGGGGTCAACATTTGGGTCATAACTCAAGACTTTGGTCATAAGTTAAAACTACAATTCTGGTTGTAACTCATTTTTTGTATGTCAGGCTGGTCATAATTCATGGTCATAATTCATGCATCCACTGTATTTTGCTTTTATATCCATCATAATGTCACATCCATGGGCTGGGGATTTAGCTCAGCGGTTTGGTGGCCAGCCTTGCAAGCGCAAGGGCCTGAGTTCGATCCCCAGTACCACCACCAAAAAAAAAAAAAAAAAAAAAAAAAAAAAAAAAAAAAAAAAAAAAAAAAAAAAAAAAAAAAAAAAAAAAAAAAAAAAAAAAGAATGTCACATCTGAATGAGGAAGAGGTCCAGATAAAAACTATAGAACAAGCTTCAGAACTAGAGATTCCTGAAATCAAAATGTTTTAGTTACTTGTTTCTCAAATATAAAATGGGAACAACCATACTTTTTAAAAAGGATTATAAATTTCTTGAGAGACTTGACTTAATTCATCTTTGTCTCCTCCAAAATTTGGCAGATTCTCCTATGCTATCAGGCACCATGCTAAACATTTTGAGTGCATAATTCACTTGACCTCAAAACAACCTCATTGTTCTTCTGCATCATTATTATTATTATCATTTCACAGGCATCAAAAGGTCTCAATAGAGGAACTTAAGCCATTTTAGCTACTCTAAGAAAATACTACAGATTGGGTTAAAATAGAAACAACAAAAATATATTTCTGTAAGCTGAAAATATGAAATAAGGTACTATTGATTCAGTGTGGGTTGAAAGTTGGCCGCCTAGGCAGACTTGAGGGAACCAGGACAGTCTTCCCACTTTGTTCTCACATGGTATAAGGGGCATGGGAGCCCTGTGGGGTTTCTTTTTATAAGGGTAATAATCTCATTCATGAGGGCTCTACTTCATCACGTAATGACCTCCCAAAGGCCTCGTCTTCTAAAATTATTATTTTGAGGGAGAATATTTCCACATATGAGTTCTAGGGGAACTCAAAAACCCATCCTAAACAAAGGGAAAGTCATGTGCACACACATATATATAGCTGGCTATGCCAGTGTGGGATTAATGCCTATGCTGGCCCGTTGTGGAGGCCTCCCTGCAGAATGCCCTGGCACTTCTGTGATTCCTTCTGATCTCAAAGGCCCTCTTTCCATTTGTAAACTTGTATCTGTTCCAGAGCCGGTTCCTACCCTTGGGTCTCTAAGAAGCCTCATAATATTTAACTGGTGCTAGCAAGATGGCAGTGCCATTTGGGCTCTGGGTGGAGGAATAGAAATAGAAATCCAGTCCTTGTTTCCTGGCCCCAGGTTAGGACTAATGAGGCAGGGCCAGTTTATTGTAATTCTAATACCAAGAGAGTCCTTTCCCACATAGACACACCTAAGGGGTAGCTGGGCCCTGGGACTAACTGCTCCTTCCTCCAGGCCTCACTGGCACAAGTGGTCAGGCAGGTTTGTCTCTTACCTTTCTACCAAGCCCACATGAAGTTAGGGGCCATGTCTTAGCTGTCGTCCCTTAATTATATATCCTCCATCTGGCACAGCACTGGCATACTTTTGCTTGAGGGTTATTGAGCAAATGGATGAAGTATGAAGGAAAGAAAGGAGGACTTAAGTGTATTTTTTGAAATTGGCAAGATTATTTCCTTCCTTTCTTCATCCATACAACAGATCTTTATTGAGCACCTACTACTATCAGTCATATGGTGGAGATACAGAGACACATAAAATGTTTTGCTTCAGGCCCACAAACAAAAACTCATTTATTTTTTTCTACCAATTTATCCAGAGAGGAAAAACTACAACCTTACACGAAGCTTGCTCTTTAAAATACTCTTCTGTTTCCTGGGGTTTTACTGTTCCATGAGTCTAGTTATTTAACATGCTCAAAGCAGTTTTTATGTGCACCAGGGGAAAGAGTTGATAAATACTGACATTCACAGAATGTGGGAAAACCCAGATTTCAGAATCCCTGTTCTTCAGCACATTTCCCATCAGTTTGTTTTTCTGAAGCACCCGCTGCACACCGCCAGGACTGAGCCTGGCTGACCTCCAGAGAGTGTACTTTTACTTCCACAGCAGTGGCCTCTACACCTCCAGAACACAGGGTAGACCTAATTGCACGCTGGATTCTCATCCAAAGAGCTTGTGGCTCATGGGTAAGAAGCAAAGTTTGTTGGATATCCTGTGAGTCCCCAAGGGGCTCAGTGCTTGGGACCTGGAAAGGACTTGGAGGTAATAGTGTAATTTCCTCAACTCTGTGGAATTCTGGAATTGCCTGCTATTAAAGCCGCTACAGAGTATCCTTTAGACATTAATTACACAGTATATTTCTAACTACTGTTTTATTGGACATCAGCTTGTGTCCGTTCTCTTGCAATGCACAGTTTAACAGACAGCTGCTGCCCCCATTTTTAAAGATTAAGGTAAACAGATAAATGAAACATTATATAAGTCAGAGATATGCATAGTTTTTCTTAATAAGTAGAAATTCTTTAAAATGGTAAGATGGATTGGATTTCACATTTGTGGTTTCATAAGAAGAGGAAGAAATTCAAGTTAGTGCGCTTGCTCTGTCTTGACATCTGATGCTTTCCACCTTATTGTTTCAAGTATTTTGCTATAGCAGCAGAAAACACACTAAGAGCTACATTCTTTGTCACCAGTTTGTCCAAAGTGACTTAACTAATTCCTTTTCAGAACAGGAAGGACTGAGTGAGCAGCAGGAGAGTTAGGGATCTAGGGAAAGGTAAGCTGAGGGGAAGGGAATGGCCTGATAAGGGGAATAGAAATAACTTTGGCTCCCTTCTTCATGTTTGTGCCCTTCACAAGCAATGCTCTGTCTAAAAGTAATAGGTAGATAACAGGAAGTAGGGGTATCTTTCAAATGGAAAGGAGAACAAGAGTTGGAGGGGAAGATGATAAAAAAACTGGATGAAAAAATGGAGATAGAACTTTTATAAATGGAAAGGGGACCAAGAGATAGAAAGAACAGGAAGGAGTAGGGAATGAAAAAGGAACTAAAAAAAAAAGCACATGTACCACTGTTTGTCTACTTTTTTTTGTGTGCACCTTTGGAGCACACCTGTAACCCCAGCACTTGGGAGGCTGAGGCAGGAGGATCGCTGTGAGTTCGAGACCAGCCTGGGCTACATAGTGAGTTCCAGATCAGTCTCAACTACATAGTGAGACCCTGTCTCAAAACAAACAAACAAACAAAAAATAAGAATCATTGCTAATCCAGTTATAAATCTTATGTTTTCTTTCAAGATTTTTTAGTTTAATCTTTTATATTTAGGTCTTTCATCCATTTTGATTTAATTTTTGCATATGGTATTAGGAAAGAGTCCAATTTCTTTTGCATGTGGCTATCTAGTTTGCTTTGCAGCATCTGTTGAAAAAAACTGTCCTTTCTCATTAGATGGTCTTGGGACCCTTGTTATTTGGCAATGTCTGAAAAGAACATAACTAGATTGCATTGACTCTGTATATCAATTTGTATAATGACATCTTAGTTATATTTAAGTCAATTAATGAATATATGCTGTCTTTCCATTAAAGAAATTCCTTTAATTTCTTTAAGCAAGTTTGTAGCCTTTGTCTTAATTAAATTAGTTTGTAAGTATTTTATTCTGTTTGCTGATTTGTAAATGAAATAGTATTTTAAATTTCCTTTCAGACTGATCATTGTCATTGTATGGAAACGCAACTTATTTTTCTGTGTTGACTTTGTATCATGCAAGATTTTCAATTTACTAGTACTAACAGGGTGTGTACGTATGTGTATATGCATGTGTGTGAATATAATCTTTAGGCTTTTCTATATATATAAATGGTATTATCTACAAACAGAGATCATTTTACCTAATTTTTTCCAGTCTGGAGACTTCCCCTGGTGCTGGCTAATGAACGCAGAGCCTTCTCTGGGCCACGCAAGTGCTCTGCTACTGAGCCATACTGCCAGCCTGTTCCTGAAGCTTTTTATCCAAGGAATAATTGTGTTTTGAAGAGAGAGAGGAAGGCAAAAAAATGGATGTGCTTGCAATGCATTTTGCAGATAGAACAACAACAGAAAAGGACAAATTTAATGTATTGGCTTGGATTTAGGTTTCGAGAGAAAGCGTTGTGGAAAGCTAGGTTTATAAATGAATTAACGGGCTGAATCATTGTGGTATCATTTGCTTATATGCAGAAAATAGGGGAGAACAGGCTTTGGAGAGGAAAAGAAAAGCTCTGTTTGGGTCATGTGCATTTGGCTATTGTTGTAGATGAGGTGCACAAAAGCAAGAGAAAGAGAAGGGAAGAGGTCGCAAGGCAGATCTTTGGGGAAGATTCACATTTGGAAAATTGATGGACAAAGAGACCCCAGAAAAGGAGAAGCACTCTGAGAGGTAGAAAAAGAACCAGGTGCAAGGTGGAGTTTCAAGAAAGTATCCATGGTTAACTGTGCAGACAAGAGGGGAAGAAAGATAAGGACTGAGAAAGGTCATATTACATGGGCGACAAGGAGATCATCCACGACCTTTACAGAGAGGTTACAACAGAATGAGTAAAGCTTCTGCCTGAGTGCAAGTGAGAAAGTATATGGGACACAGAAGAACTCTGAACAGCTCCCCAAAGTTATGCACTAGGATGATTCTGTTGTTACTATTATCTCGGAAACAGAAACCATCTAGGAGAACGAAAGGCCACTTAAAACCCATGGCATTAGCCTATCACATTGCATTGATCTCATGTGAAAGATGCTGATAAAAAACCAAAACAGTAATAGCAAAAACCAGTCATGAGAGGGCAGGGCATCTCTTTTCAGAGTCTTTTCCTTTAGAGGTCATCATTTAGTGGAAATCTTTCTCTTCTTAAGAAGGAAGCAAGCACCACCCCACGCCCTTCTCAGCAGCTCTACAAAGCACAGATGACCTTCTGATAAAAAGTTCCTTTTTTCTTGCCATTGGCTCACACTGTACATAAAATCTAATTTGTTGTTTCATGTTTCTTTAAAATGAACAAGCTGAATTACTCGGAGGAGAAAGACAAGAGAGATAGAGGAGACAAAAGTGACAGCATCTGAAGGGCAGGAACTTACAGGTAGGCATTTTAACTTTTGAGAATTATTGACAATTGTGCCTTCTCACTTCATAGTCTGAGGAATAATCTGTGAAAAGTAAGCTTATATTGCTCTATTATAAATGTTTTTATGTTGAGAAAGCTCAAAAAAGTAGAAGGAAGCAAAAACCACAACCAAAATATTCCTTATTGGCATGATGTGGGTATTCCATTCTTTGCCTCTGTGTGTGTGTGTGTGTGTGTGTGTGTGTGTATGCCACATGCATATAATTTTAGTTTGATTTCCATAATTGTATCCATACAGTACAGAGAAGTTATATCCATTTCTTACAGCTTATGTTTTATCCATGTTGCTATGAACACTTCGTAATCATAATTTTAAATTGCTGTATATGATTGCTTTGAGGGGTTTTAATATACTCACACATTCCTCTATTTTCAAACATATAGCATCTCCAAGTTTTCAGAGATTGGTTCATTTTACTCTGGAAAATATATATACTTTTTTCATCCAGGGTCTTGCTTTTGAGGAAGAAGAGTTGTGTGTGTATATAATCTTTATAATCTGAGAAATGTACATTTCAGTGATTTTGGTCAAGGATATAAACCATAAGAGTGTGAATGCATGAGCTGTTCATTACCCTGTGAGACTCACATCAGTGGTTCTCAATTCTAGCAACATATTTAGCGAGGACTGCTTGAATCTAAGATTTAAAATATCACCTCTTGAATAATTGAAACTTAACTCTTAAGGATCAGCCAGTCATTTGTAGAATTTTGTTTTGTTTTCCAAAAACTTCCCACATGATTTTAATGAGTGGTCAGCTTACAGGACCCAAGTTATTGGAAATATTTTACTGTCTTTGACACATACTTGAGAGTAGTATGTATTAATAGCAAAAGAGATACAATTTTAGCCAAGCCACCCAAACTTCCTTTCCAATATTATAGAAGTAATGCAAATTATATTTAATTTGTGGGATACATAAACCCTTTAGAAATTTTTGTTATCTGCCTCAACCACATAAACTCTTAAGATGAGAATCTATTTCAGAATTTCAGTATACTAATGCTGTAAGGAAGAAGATTTTTTTTTTATTGCTTTGAAAATTAGCAAGAGAACTGGAGGATCTAGAAAGTTCTAAAGGTATCAAAATGAGGTTTATTATCTGTTACTACCTGCCAAGGCAGCCAGACTTCCTTTCTTTTGTAATTTTTTCAAGACCAATCATCAAGGAGATATTTAATACCAGGCCAATCAGAAACACAGCATGGGTACAGCAAAGACAGATTGGTTTCTAGGCAGGAGGTGGTTTGTCCTGGCTTTCTAGGAGCATTACGGACATGATACTTTCAGCAGACAATATAATGGGAAGTTGGGGAAAACACACCAGGGCTATATTCTCACTTCTCCCTTCAGGAACTGAGAACAGACAAAAAGCAGATAAACCAAGTTAAAGCTACTATGAGCCTACTCAGGGCTTTTCTTATTTTGATTCAACCTAACTGGATCAGTAGTGTGTTAATTACAATTTTAAATTTTTCATTCCATGGCAGAGAGCACCTATTTGTTATTTTTGATGGAACAGAAACACTCACATAGTACTTTACAACTTGGAAACATGTCTTCACATATAGTTCATTTGACCTATGTGGGAGCCTCAAGCTCTGGAAAGTATAACTTTTATTTTAAAGATGGTAAAGATGAACAGAGAACATGGGATCTCCCCAGGTGACTCCAATACTGGCCCAATCTGGTAGAGCACAGGGCATATAAGTCCTTCCTTACAATTTTAATAATAGCTATTATAAGAAATGGATTAACAAGTTTTGTTATGCCTGCATCATTGGATAATGTTTAGCCAGTTAAATAATGACATTGATATTTATTTCTTGAAAAAGAAAGGTGACTATGACACAGGAACAAGCCAGGTATAAACAACATTATAATAGGCACCCATTTTTGTTTAAAAATACTTCCATGTATTTAAAGAAAGATGGCATATATGCACAAAAATTTAGATATGTCTGGTTGGTGGCAAAATTTATAATTTAAATTTATTTCAGTTTATATTATCTTGCATACTTGTGTAACATAAATGTAAAGTAAATTAAATAGAATTGTTTATGTTTTTCTGGTTGGCTCTTTTCCAGATGAAATAGTCTCAATTCCTTCCATTTGGCAAAGGAAGCTTGCTATTTAATTCTCTGGGTTTTGTATGTTATTGTTACAATGTTATTGTGATTGTTAGCTAGCACTGAGTGACCATTTCGCATATGTGAGGAACCAAGTTAATCATATCATCATTTTTGTCTTTGATTCTCACTTCAATCCTCCCTTGGCAGATGAGAATTTTGAAGCACAGAATGGTGAAGCAGTAAAAACGACCAAAAGGCAGAACTGAGACTTGAAGCCAGGTCCCTTCCAACTCAATTACACATACTTGCATTTATTACAGCATCCTGCCTCCCCATGCACTTGGAGTTTAAAAGGAATGCCCCCCGCAAGCAACTGTTTTAGAGACAAGATAAGATGCATTCATTACTCTGTGCCAGGATCATTTCCACAACTGCTGTGAACTTGATTGTATTCTAGACTCAAGGGCCCCGCCCCACCTGCTTTTCTAGTTTACCTTGCACAGCACGAGAAGCACTCGAGTCCCCCAAAACTAAGCTTGTGTAATAAGAAGTCTCATAAAAGATTGTGCAGTAACCCGGAGAACTCTGGCCAATGCAGGAACCAAGCTGGTTGATGAAAAGAAAGGCATGCATTTCACCACAGTTGCTCAGCTTTGTTAGAAAACCTTTTTACATTCGCATCAGATGCTTTTCCAGATTAATCAATAATTTCCTTTTCATATTGGGATTATTTATGCATTGGTCTCATCCTTTCTACTGGACCAAGAGTCTCTGTAGATGGACTCCTTGCATAAAAACTAGTACATGGACTCCAGTGAGTATGTGTAAATAAATTAATTCATTAGTGAACATGGACTTTAGTTACAGCTTGTGTTTATCTCTGTTCAACTTTATTAATATTTTTCTATTAATCAATCCATAAAGAAAAGGTAACCTTTGATGTTACCTAAAGGAAAAATCTCTCCTATTGGGCAGATGACTTGGTAGCAGTATAGTCTGGCTGATAAAAGGAGTCCGGTTATTAATTGAAGGACCCATGATTACAGTCTGACTAATAAGTTGAAAATAAAGAATTCAAAAGTTGCAGGTTTGTAAAAAGAGTGAGGCCAGACATAGAGCTGTTTTCATCTTTTGTAGAAAGTCCAAAGTCCTAAAGGGAGAGAGAGATTTCAAAGAAATAGGGGATCAGACCACAAAAAGACCAAGAAGGGAGAATAGAAAGGAATGAAGAGAAGAGGAAGAAGTAGAGGGAGAAAGAGCATGAGTGGAGAGGAGAGGACCCTCTTTACTCTGGAAATGCAAAGATTAAATAAACAGCGGAGTTGAAAAGAGTTCAACCAACCACGATTTTCTCTATTACATGTTATTAAAACAAGTTTATTTTTAGCTTGAAGAAAAAAAGACTATTTCTCATACAAGTCTCTTCCCATTAGTCTGTAAAGATTGTATTTTATCTCGTTTGCACCTCTAGTACAGGAAAAAAATATCTAAAGAGTACTTAAAACTATCATAGATTGTGGTGGTTTGTTAAAATAAATTAATTTCTTTTTATTTTAAGTCTTATGTGAGCAATAACTCTGCTCTCTGGTAAATTCTCTGAGAGATTTGAAAGTTGTAACAGGTACAAATTCCTACTTGGGATTTATTGGCAAACAACTAGACAATTTGCTACCCTCAGAGATATAAATGGTGTCACCTCCCATAATGCCAGCACAAAGCATCATTTGGATACATTTTGTGGTTGCCTCCTGCCCCTGTGCCATTATCCCTATATTCCTCTTCCAAGACTATAGATTTGAATTTCAGAGACAGAAAAAATGGAAACAAACAAACAAAAACCTAATAGCATTTCACCACAAAAGACCATTAAGGAGAGTCCCAGAAAATATTTATTGTGCAACATAAAAATGAGGAGGTTGGATAATGACTTCATTAGCTCACTCAGTGGTCATTTTTCTGAGCTCACTTATATGCATATGCTGTGCTAGGCCCTAGAGGTATAGCAGAAAACCAGAGACATTTCATTCTTGACTGCAGTGGTTAAACATTTAGCATTAGGGATAGAAAGGAGCCACCTGTTGGCTTACCCTTGGGGTAAGTGGGGCATGGTAAGTGGAAACCTAAGGGACTACAGCTAGCCAAAACCTGGAGGAATCACAGAAACTTCTTCTGGAAGGGGTGGTATTTACAAAGAAAACTGAGATTGAGTCAAGACAGCTAGATGATGAGCTGCAACTCAAGTATATATGCAATATGATAGAAATATATAGTGAATGGTTAACTTAAAAAATTGATTTAGGTTAACAGATACATCATCACAATCTCCCTGAAAATACTTTCCCTAACCTTAAACACACATATTCCATCATTCTTGCCACTTTCTGAAGCAGATCTGGAGGCCCTCTTTCATGAGTGTTTTTACAGGTGTGATAAAAATACAATGAATGCTGCTGCTGAGTGCTATCCAAAAGAAAGGCGGGATAGTAAACACAATATAAGGTGTCTTCATCCACACTCTTTGCCAGATCTGTCACCATGTGACTTTTGGCTGCTCTTCAACATCAAAATAACCATGAAAGGTAAACATTTAGAATCACTTCAGGACATTGAGGAAGCCATGAGAGAGCGACTGAAGATATACACAAAAGTAGACTTCCAGAACTCCTTCAGAAAGTGGCAAGAAAAATGGGAGAAGTACATTTGAAATGAAGGGAAATATTTTGAAAGGGATTAATCACAATATGCCTTTTACTGGATATGTCAGAGCAAGTAGTTACGTCTCAAACCAGAGCAGGACCTGGAGACTCACAGTCCTTCACAAGGGGATACCTGCAATGACCCCCTTCTAGGACTACCTCTTAAATATCCGCAACAACTCCCAA